CACCCCCCCCAGCCAGGGCCAGGCCCCCGGGGGTGCGGCACTGCCCCCCACTATGCGGCCGTGAGCCCGCGTCACGTTGGCAGGGCCTGGGCTCCTCTCACCACACGGCCCTGGAAAGGCAGAAGCCATGTCATGAGGGACAAATGCTGGTCTTTCGCACCATCCAGGCCCACCCCGGTCTCGGCCTGGGCCCCATGGGCCTTACCTGGCACAGGTAGGTCCTGGAGGAAGGGGGCTTGAGGCCTGAGATGCTCGGGTCCTGCTGAGAAAAGGACCTTGGACCTCACCGCCCCCTCCTGCCTGCTCCCATCCTTGCCTGTCTCCCCACTCAGGTTCCGGAGCAGCAAGGACCCCACCGGTGGCCCCCTGAGTCCAGGTGCTCCTGCCTCCCTGCCCGTGCCCACCCTGTGCCCCGAACCTGGCATGCCCTCCACATGTAGGGACAGCCTTGTCCTGGCTGCCACCCCACCCAGCCCTGCGCTGGAGAGGGGAGTAAGTTAAGGGACGGGAGGGAGGTGGACAGGAGAAGGGGCCCGGGACGTCATGCTGGCTGCAGGGCACCACCTGGGCACCACTTGGGCCCTACCTGGGCACTGGTGCAGTCTGTGCTGGATCTCCATCACCACCTGCTTTACCGCCCACTGTGCGCTCCTCTGAGCAGCCTGCAGCGCCTGTGTCCCCTGGGCAGACAGGGCTGCTGGGACATGGGGCACAGAGTCACACACAGTTGGGGAAGAGTCGACCTGGTCCTCCTGGCCCCCACCCTGAGTCCTGTCTCTCTGGACAGGGGAAGCAGGCTGGGCCCAGCCTGGGGGTGGAGCGGAGTGAGGAGAGAGCCCAGGCCGGGCCCAGCCCTCGCAGTGGCCTGGGTTCCCAGCCCAGGGTATCTGCAGCTTAACTGAGCGCACCCGGCATCTTCAAAAGCACCTTTCCATAAAAACTAAGAAGGAAAATCACCACCCCAAAGATACGGATGTCACGGGACCTGGGCTTGTTGACATGAAGTGACATGAAGTGGTGAGTGGCACAACTTTGGGCCCAGGCAGCCCCTGGCAGGCTGCTCTGGGCCGTTTCCTTCCTTGCTAAGTCTGGAACCTTCTCAGGTGCCCTGTGTGGCACTTGCCAGCTCCCTTCCCTTTCCAGCCTCGCCTTCTGCCTTCTGAAGGTCCTTGATTCTCCTCTCCCACCCGGGACCCGCTTGCTGTCGCCCTCCCCTCCCCAGGAGCCCTTGCTCACCTCGCAGGGTGCTGGGGGGCAGGCGCATGTACACTGGGTGCCCGTGGGCAGCCCAAGGGCCTGGCAGGCGCAGCAGCAGCAGCAGCAGCAGCAGCATGGGGCCGGGCGCGGGGCTCCTCCTGGCCCACCTCCGGGTGCTTCTCGTGTCTGCTTCCCACTGCTTTTCTGCCCCTGGGCACTGAATTTTGTCCCTCGAATTAACTGATCCTGTCCTCTTACATGGAAATCATCCTCTGCCCTCGCTCTGCCCCTCACCTGGCCTTAACTCCTAAGTGCCCACGGGGGAGTGGGGCCGCGGGGGCTATATAGAGGCCAGACTGGGGGGGCTCGCGAAGTGTAACCGGGACTCAGGGAGGGAATGGGGTAGTGGGCTCGACTCTCACCTTTGAAGTCTCGTCTTCCCGGCTGTGAGCCCCCCTCTGTCAAAGGAGCCCTTGTTTCTGCGGGTCCATCAAAGGGGCCGAGCCGGGGAGGAAGAGCTGACAGTTGGGCCGGGGGCCAGGCAGAGGGGGGCTGGGGGCCAGGGGCTGGCCCTGTCTCCAGAGCTGGGATGGGGGCTCCCCATCTGCCTCCACCCCCTGAGGAGTTTCCAGCCATGTTGGGGGCAAACACTCCTGGCAGGAGGAGGCGGGCGGCCCCGGGGGTCCCTGACAGCCCCACCCCTGAGGAAGCCTCTGAGCTCCCAGCCCCTCTGGCCCTAATTGCTTGGCAGCGTCCCTCCCCGATGTGGCCATTTCTACAGATGATCAAAGCGCCCTAATTAGCGCCGTAATTGCTGCGCTGGGCTAGTGGGTGGGAAGAAGCAAAGGCAGGCGGGCAGGAGATGAAAGGCCTCCAAGTGGCCCAGTTCGCCTGACACTCTCCCAGACCCCGTCCCTGCGCAGTGCCCGCTCGCCCGTCCAGCATTGTTCGTTGCTGTGACCCTGATCTGGCAGGAGGGACTTTGCTGGAGTCCCACGGACAGGGCCACAAGCGAGCAGCTCTCCTGAGACAAGTCACCACCTGGGGCAGAGTGTCCTGGGCTAGCCCTGCGCCAGAACACTGCCCCTCCCTCCCCACTGGTGTCCCCAAGGGCCACTTTAATGGGAGTATCTATGCCCCTGGAACTGGCAGGAGGGAGGAAGCAGAGCTCTTTTTAAATTTAATTTTAATTTTTATTTTTTGCTAAGAGGATGTTTGCTGGAGAGAAACAGAGAGAGAGAAAATGAGAAAGGGGATGACCACACTGCAATTCCTCTCCGTTCTCCTCTCAGGATTTTAGGGATGCGTGCACATGCACCCCGCATGTTTTTCAAGCAGCTGGGTCCAGGACTTGTTCTGTCGGCCGTGCGGGATCCAGCTCCCTTCACCAGCAAGCCACCAGCTGGCCTGG